GGGACAATCTTTACAATTTAAACTAAAAAAGATTTGAAAGTTGGAAATATATAATTCTACGGTATTAATACTTATCCACAATAAAGATTAATTTTTTTTAATATTTTGAAATAATAAGTTTTATTTTTTATTTCTAAAAGCGTAGCAAATAAACTAAATAAAAAAGTTAAACTTTATACAATATTAGTTTTAAAAATCCACACAACTTTTTATAGGTCAAAAAGGAACAATAATAATAATTTATTAAAATTTTTAACAGACAAATTTCGATATTCTACAAATACTTCAGTTTCTTATGCTTGTCATAAATTATCGAAAATTTAATAACATTTAACATGAAAACAAACAACAAATTTTAAAAATAAATAATAAATAATAATTAAAAAGATTTGGTCTTAATAATAAAACATTTTTACATTAAATTTAGTAGTTTTATAGGATCAGGTCCTCTCAGTCCCCCGATTAAGAAAAACATTTTAATAATTTTATAAAAGATAAAATTGTTTCTGCAGCATGCTGCACTTTAAAGATTAATTTCGAAAAAAATTGCCTTTCTTTAAGCTCTAATTACTCCATTTCTTGCTTATATTTACACCTTAAGCTTATTTTATAAGATTCTACGTGCTGACTATGCATGCCAGCAATAGGATCTAAAAAATCGTATTTATGAAAAACAGTGTAATAGTCATAATCATTTGAGTTAGATAAGCCTCTATGAAATTTTTCGCTCATCGGAATGTATAATATTTCCAGTCTTAACAATAGAATTTATTATAGGAATAAGAACGCTTGGAGATCTAGATTCTACAATAGCACATATCCTAATGGAGGTTTAAATGCTTGTCTATGATGCAGACATACCAAAATGCTTGTACGTATCTACCTCTATGACCATTAACATCATAATTCAACTTGGTTTCATATATTTGCCCAAAAATATAAAGACATTTTAGTTTAACAGGATTATCGGTGAAGAATAAAGCAATTCGTTCGATGTAATATTTTACAGCTACTTTAAAAGTTTTTTCAATGCCTGAATGTTCAAAAATTTTAGAATAGTTATCATCTTAGCGTAGTACTAAATTGTTTTAGTATTGTTTTAATATCATTTTTAAAATTATAGACCAAGAATTGGACCGCAAAGAGATAATTGTCCGATAGTAACGACAACCGTAAAAGCACGATCTCAATTCAAACTTATCAGAAATTTTGAATTATGACATGAAGAGCATACATTAACAAACTTACAGATCTGTTTATCTCCAATTAAATACTATACAAACAATAAAGTTAAAAATTCGTTTTCATCTGCTATAATTATTAGATCTTATTCTTTTTCTCTCATCAATAAATTTAAGGATAAAAATTTAAAAAAATTAATTATACTGTATGTAAGAACCCCTGTTATTGAGGTTAAATTTTATAACAATATATAACATCCCGAACCAAGCAATTAGTCTCACATCTCCCTACCTTTTTCTTATAGCTTTCAGATCATAATGTCTTTTCTTCATCAGTCTTTCATTCTTTAATCTTACCATATATTAATCTCCAGGATATCTCTCAACAATTTTCCTTTTGTCTAGAACTTTCCTTTAGTATACCTGCTACACCCAATCATTTTTTCATTTTTAGCCATTCTAACCCACCCATTTTTCTCAAATTTCTTGCGAAACCGTTTCTTAAAATCTTTAGCATATTTACCATCAAAACTATTCTCTATTATTAACTTTCCTGATTTATCATTTACTGCTTTTAATGGTGTGCATCCAATTCTAATGTAATTACTTGTATTATACTTTTCTATAAATTCTGCTAATTTGTCAATAAATCTTTTCTTATTGCTTTTTGATATACTTTCTCTGATTGTTCTAATAATCTTCTCAACTTTACCGCTCGCTTGTGTAGAATTCAACACTTACTTTACAATGAATCTACATCATCTAAATTACAATACAATTTTCTTAGTAGATCATTTTGAAATTCTTTACCGTTATCTGTTACTATTGTCTCGGATTTTTTTGTCTAAATAAATCTTTTATAAATTCCACTACGTCCTGAGCACTTTTGCCTCTCAATGGCCAATCTCACATTCTTCTGGTAAAATAATTAACGATTACCAGCATAAAGTATCCTTCTTCTTTAAACTCTATTAAATCAAACTTAATTTTTTCCAAGTACCTAATCGTACTTATAAAGTTTCATCCACCCTCTAGTTTTCTTATTGTATTTTTGGCTAATCTCAGAATTTCTAGTCTTCTTTTTTATATGATCCTTAATATCCGGCCAATAGTAATCATTTCCTAAAACATTATAAACTGCTGT